AAAGCTCAGACTTTCACCTGACATTTAAGACCCTAAGGCGTATCACCTCAATTTAGCTATCCCCGCAATTACCCTTTAGCATCCTACCATGCAGCAAAATTGAACTACTAGCTGTTTGACACATGTTCTATATTTTCTGACCTCTGGATTTTGTTCTTCCTGTTTCCTCTACTCTTACCCTATTTTTAAAGCTCATTTATGCTTTACAGTACCAAGTTCAATGGTACTGTATAGCGTTTTGGGCCAGGTATTTACATTTGCACTTTTTAAAATCAAAACTATGTGCACATAATGTAAGATAAAAATAACTAAATGTATGGAAATTCTGTATTTAAAAAATTGCACACTGACTTTTCACTCCAGTGTGGCTCATTTATAACCTAGAGGTGGTATTTGCTTGAGGGAAGGTATGGTAGCTTGAAACAATATACATACAAGAAAAGACTTGCAAAATATTTGCTGGAGGTTGATGGTTTAAGATTTAAATGAATTGCGTGGTGACGTCTGTATTCTTGCTTTGTGGAGCCTGATCTATTTCCTTGTTAGCAATAACATTTTTTTTTTGGATTGCACAATATTTATAGAGAAATTACAGTGCTTTCACAGATTGTTCAAGTAGGTTCATCACAAATACTGTTAAGCTTTGACATTTTTCAAAAGGTAAATATGTTTTGACATTTCCTGGTGAGCAGCTCCAGATATGAAAAGCAACTGTTCTTCCCTTTGTTGCTAACATATTTCCAGGCTTTATTTAAATGTATATGTACACAAATAATTATTTTATTAGGTGGTAAATTCACTAGGCTCTCGAAAGCTTAACCTGGGTGAAACAAAAGAAACAATCAAAGGCTGTTTCCTATCTTCGCACCTGTTTCGGAGAGGAAAAAAACAACAACCCTTGAAAGGCTTTCTTTTCAATTTTCCAGCTGAACACCCTCAATAAGTAGTTTATGATACATCCAGGAGATCTTAATGTGTCAGGAATGAGAAAGTAATTTAAAAATTACAGGAAACACTGACACCAGCACTTCAGAAGCCTTCCTGTCTGGTAAGCCACAGCTCTTCTCTTGGCCACCCCCTGCGGTGCTTCTACACAGTAAAGGATACCTATTGTCATCGCGGAATTGTAGCTTCCGTTCCACAGAAATCCAAGTCCTCCTTTTTGTTTTCCCGACCTGGATACATATCCTTGAAATTTGACTTCCGAACTCCAAGTGCCATTGAAATGGAGATAATCATCCTTTTGGAATACTGCCATCTGTTTTTCTCTCTTCACTTTCTTTGGTGAATAAGGAAAGCATCCTGGGAATAGTTATTGCACTTGGTCACTAATTGTACCCAAACTTTCAAAATAACATATAAGCTTTTAGCTGCATTGTATCCATTAAAACTCTGCACAGGCTTGGAAAAAGTCACCCCAGAGATCTTCTACTAAGAATTAGAAATGCTCAGCTAAGCTGAATAATCACCAGGTAGTGAATTTTAATTCACATTCTGGTATAGTTTTGAAAATGTTAAGCTGCAGTGCCATATTTATTCCAAGGAAATATATTATGAACCATTTAAAATATAGCAAATTTAAGGTAGCTTCTGATGTGAACTACAACAGTTTGTAGCTCACAGCTGTTAGTTGAATGGTGCAGATTTGTTTTTAGAGATAAATGTAATCAGTTAAACATTTGACTGCCACATTCATCTAACTGAATGATATCTATATGCAAATGTGGGGAAGTAAAATTTAAAGCACCGTCACCAATAGATCTTGTTCTAGTTTATAGTAATCTGCTTTTTGTGAATTCCTGCATTAGATTTTCAGTGTTTTTGTGTTCAGTTGGATTATTTGACAGGAAACAGTCTTAAGGCATATTTGTTTTACAGAGTTCAAAGGAATTCTTTTGGGTGATCTGATTCCCTTGTTAAGAAACCTCTAGTTTGAGTTCTCTTTGCAAGTGAAGACCTTTCACTTTTGGGTTCATGTAGGCTTATGTCCTGTTTCTTTAAATCCTGTTCTAGTCAATCCACTTAGTTTCATGTGTTGGCGACCATGATATAGATTTGTGTGCAGAGGCCCAAAATAAGAATGACTTACACATAAGAATGCCCTTTCCACCCCAACACACATACATGAGTCTCAGCTCCTGTGCCATCTCTACTCCAAAAGTCATCAACAGCTCAGACTCCTTTTGTGTAATCGATCTGCCAAACTTCATGTGCTGCCTTCATCCACATAAGCCAAGATGGTGTGTCACCATGTGGATATTTCGGCCAGAGGGGCTGGGGTGCAGGGGTGGAGGGTGGGGGTGGGGGAGGATAAAGGGAAAGTGAGGGCTCACTTCTCTCTAAGGGCATGATCTGCAAGTTTCATATATCATTTCTGCTCTCATCTGATTAGCCAAAACTGAGGTATACATCTATACAGAGTTGCTGGGAAATATAGCCTTTATTTGTGATAGCCATGTTCCCTGATAAAAATTCTATTACTGGTGAAGAAAGGAAAACAGATATTGGGGAATCTTATCTTTGCTTCCCTTCCCATGTCTGGCTCACAGCTGGCTCTCTTCTTATTTGGATGTTCAAATTTACCATTTCTCATCTCTGCTCCTCCATTTTCTTCTCTTGCTTGTCCATTTGGATAAAATAGAACTGCCTCTGTGAAACTTGAATTTTTACTAGTTTCATTGGTTTATTTGAAATAACTTTTAATTCTAAGTTCTGGTAGTTCTCAGGTATTTTGTTGTTATTATATTTTGTTATTACATTGTTAATACTGGCAGTATCTGTGTGGTTCATTTGGCAGTAATTTTCTTGTCACCATTAGATGTTAAAAATTACTTTTTAATCTCCTCATAGTGCCTATAGTTGGAATCCAATAAATATTGACAATAAAATCAGAGATTTAGCAATGTATGACATTGTTAGGATGGCATGAAGACCAATATTTGGTTATATAAGCTGCCGTTTTATTTTTTTATGTATTTACAGAACACTTTTCCAGAGTTGAATATTTTGTTCACCATTCTTTATGGACAATATATGAAGCCTTATTCACGAGCCATTTATATACTATCCTTCTCACACCCTGTTATCCAAATATGCATACGCTATACTTAACAGATTTTCTATTGTTTTATTCTAATAGAACAGTTGGGCCAAAAGCCTTGTTTTTTCCCCCCACTTTTCAAACATTGTTGATCTTTATACTAAACTTATAATGTTCTGTCAGTTCCCCAAAAGGCACTTCTAATGCTCCATACTGGCACTTTTGGTATTCTCTGCAGTATATTCTTGATTAGAAAGTACATCAGTCAGGGCCTCAGCAGTAAACAGATGGCTCAGACAAATAGGGTAATTAGGAAGGGTTTAATAAAGAAAGTATTTACAAAGACGCAGGCAGGGTTAAGGAAAACCAGCTAGGGCTGTTTAGCATGCTGGGGTTATCCTAGTGGGTAGCCACGCCACCTGGACCTGAGCGGGAGAGAGGGGACTGGCATACGAGAGCCAGCAGGCAGTTCTTGGAAGCTAGGAGAGGACTGTCCGAAAGGAGCTGTGGGCTTTGGCCGAGGCACCCAGCTGGCCCGTCACAATCTTTGTGAGAAAGGTCCAGGAGAATTAAGCCTCAAATCTTATTCCCTCCTGTCCTTTGATCTCCTGCCAGTCAGTGCCTTTCATTGGCCGAATCCAACTGGAATCCTGAGGTTAGCTGGTGTGGTCCATAAAGAAATGACGCCCAGAGGCCTGAGCGGGGCAAAGAAAGCAGAGAAGAGGAGCAAATGGAAAATATCCAGCCTGCAACACATCTCCATTTTTACACAGTGTTTTCCAGTGTTCCCAGTTACTCTTTTTCAGTTTTGTGTTCTTAATATTTCAAGGAGGACATTGACTAAATAGTAATTCATTCCAGCTAAGCATCCACCTTTCCTCTCTTTTGAATCATATTGCTTGTACTTCAGCACTCATCTTAAGACTTAAAGGACTCACAGTGGAATTTATGTTGAAAACATTTAAACAGAAATGAGTCCATTCCAGTCATATCCCTTTAGATCTCAAAAATAGGAACATTATTTAACTTAACATTTAATTGAGCAAAGCCATTCTATGCACAGCATAAATTAGGTATTATCGGCGAGTTTACAGTATAACTGAAACACAGGAACCTTACAGAGGACAACCCCTTTGTCTAGAATACTCTATAATTGTGGCATTTAGTTATGTAGAGGACTTCCACACCATATGTTTTAACAAATACTTTGGGTCATAAGGGTATGTATAATGGAAGGACATAATTAAAGTTTAATCTGTTCGGTAAAAAGGCACCATTAATTACTCTAGTCAATTTGTTGGGTTATTAATCGGTTCTGGAAACATGTCAAGATACTAATTTAAATGGAATTTTTTCCCTTTAATTGTCTAGACAGCCCCTCGACCATACACTGCCCCAGGAAATATGCAGCCTCCAATTCGATTGCAGCCTCTTCCCAGTAATCCTGCTGTAGGAACTGTTCCAAAGATAACTTTGGGGTCCAGATCAAAAACCACATTGCTGGAAAATGAAGCTCCGTTTCCCATTGGGGTAAATGTTATTTCTCTAAGAAATATCTTTTTATTGTTTATTAGAATATTAGATTATTACAGTTACTAAGATGATAGATTTAATTAATTTACTTTGTGAAATTTATGTCGTGTACTTATTAAGCACTTACAATGCCCTTCTGTTTATCATACTCTAGTGAGAAGGCCTATCATTTCTGGGTTAGTGAGCAAAAAGAGTAAGGAATGCATTTGTATTAATATAAAGTGATCGCTCATTAATCTGAAGGGTTGTATGAAAAACAAAGAGGAACTTTTTATAGCCAGATATGACTTCTATCAGAAAAGACCCAGTGTTGACTGCTTCCAAATTTTAAATGCATGAAACCTAGAAAATGAAACTTTCCAAGAATAGGTTTGCATTTGCATGCTGACTTACTTTACCATCAGTGTATGAAATTGCTTCAAGTTTGACTCTGGAGAATGTTGGATATAGAATGAAAAGAATGTCCATCTTTTAAAAATGCTGAATTAATCATACACTGGAGCTTGACTCTGCTTCCTTTTCAAGGTTACGTCTCAGGTAATTTTCACTTATTGCAATAAAGCACCGGAAGAAGGTAAAGTAAAATATATGAGTTACCTAAACAGGGGGGAATAATTAGGACATTTATTAATTTGACAGGGTATTGTTTGTATTTCTAACACCAAGGAGAAACATTTGCCAGCTTAAGAAAAAAACTGTCATATGTATAATAGCCATTATGTTCAAATGGGCGAATTTAGTTCCATCATGTTTTAGGAAGCATGAGATATATGAAATTAAGATATTTTTGTCTGAAACTGGTAACTTTGACACTAAGAAATTAATTCAAATAAGTGATTGTTTCACAGTAAAATTATAAATATAATTATAAATGATAACTAATATTTTAATCCATTTAATATGCTTTTCAGCTTATATAGCATTTTTCACAAACCTTATTATAGGTAATTTAATATTTTCTCAGAAAGCAGGAGACATTAAACCAAAGTGGTGACATATTTTCTAAGGAAGACTGAGTAGAGCTAGGCAGAAACTTATTGGGTCGTAAGTCAATTAGGTTGACATCTGGTGTCCATTTTGAAGGCCCAGGCATTTCCTGTTTTAGCTAGTGGCCAGGAGTGATCAGGTCCTGAGAGATTGTCTCAGGTTCACTATAATAACTCACAACAAGCTAATTGTTTGCTCTATAGTAAACCAAAAAGGAGGGTAAAATCATAATCAGGAACCATTAATGCACAAGATATCAAATAATCAAAGCTTGTAGAAGAGGTGTTCTTCGGATGGGCAGACCTACATGGGAAGCCATATCACAATGAGAAGGTTGCCTGGTGAGCATGGAATCAGAATGAGGGGATATGGTGGACTGGAATGTTAAGGGCATCAGGCTAAGGTGGCTTGATGCACGTATCTCATTTTAAAAATGGGATTGCCAAAGGTACCAGAAAACTCAAAGGTCTTTGGCTAAAAGCCTCTGTATGCTCCAGGAATAACTTGACCATTAGGACTGGAAATATTCAAGGTCCAATGGGTGAAATTTCCTCTCCCCTAGATAGTACGTGGATGGGCAGTTTCCATGTTTGCCAAGGTGATTGTTTTCTTTTCTAAGCTCCTATAATTATTATTTTACTATGTTACTTCAATAGACACATTTC